TGATTTTTCGATTAGTTTTTGAAGATGGATTTTTTAAGTTTAAAGAATTGACATTCCAATTGTAAACTTTTAATTTTTTGTCTAAACTAACTTCAACTTCAAACAAAGTAGACCTTTTGACATAGATACTTGTGGGAAAAGTAGTGAAATTTCTAATTGAGTTGTAAATTTAAGATTAAAGAAAGAAATGCATTTGTATTAGTAATAACATCCATGAACTTCCTATAGACGTGAAAGTAAATTTGCTTTTTGTATTTTGCAAAATAGTTCAATTATCTCCTCTATAAAAGTTGGAAGACAGATCTATTTTGTCATTGTAAAAGTTAGCTCAATTTGTCCATATTGACTAAAAACAATAGCTATTCAACTCACGAGTCATTTCAATAAGGAAAAAAGGTCAAATTTGACATTGAACTGTGCGGAACAGTCCAAATTTGCTTGAAATAATCCAAATTCGATCGACATTGTTGTCAACCACCATTCCTCATCCCTGTAATTAAATCAGTTACCTAGTCATTGGAGGCTTTTAAGTATGGATGAAGAAGATGGCGGTAGCGTTGAAATAACAATAGCTTTATTCTTCAAAGTTTACTGACAATCTGAACAACTCAAAAAGAATATTTGGATCATTACGCAAAGTGCAAGGGCAAATTTCACCCTTTTTCCTTTAACCTCATACATCAAAAATATCTTTAAAATTGTAGCAACACAACAACTAAGTCAAGTTCATAGGGACATGTATTGACATAGATGTTTGATTCAACTTATATGTTATTGATCCATGCCCCTAGAAAAGATGAAAACAAAGAAGATTGTTGGGTGGGGGGTGAGGAGATAATTTGTGAAAATATAAGGGATAAAAAAAAGAAAATTTAGAATGATTAGCGATTGACTTCAAGAAAGTGAGGAAATCAAGTTGGTAAGCCAATTTTTTTTCTCTATCGATCTACACAAAAAAGACATCAATCTTGGCTTATATTTGTACAAAGAAAGCTAAAAATTATAGTAAGGTGTGTGTATATGAAGGAATGGATGGGGATTTATAGGCGTGTTACAATTATTATTATTTTTATATAAAAAGTGACCACATAGTTTCAACAAATCTTATGAATTAGGAATAAATGGACTTTTTTTCTTCTTTTTTTACGTGTACAAAATAATAAAGTGGTGACATAATTTCAGCATAATTTACCATCTCTGATAGCAAGTGAAGTCATAATGGCATCATTTTCCCTTCTAAACAAATGACCATTTTTAGCACCTTAATAATAAAAAATATAACCATTTTTGTTGTTTCAAATTTCACAAATACTATTTTATGACATTGTCATTAAATTTTACTGGCAAAATTTAAAATACCACAACAATAATTATTTTTCAGTTACGAGGTAAAAAATAGTTAGTGAGCTTTATTTTGCCATACAAATATATTGTTTTTCTCGGTAAAGTCCATAATTTTTCAATATATTGTGGCATTAATTCAATTCAAAATTCAAATCTTAGTATGTTCATTTTCATTGAGATTCATGTCAATTTGGATGAGAGAAAAAAAAAATTGAACTGAAAATCTTTTCTGCAGATATCCATTTTTTGGAGAGACGGATATATAAATTGGATGTACACGTTAAAATTCAAAAACAATCTTCCAATATTACAAATATAATTAATCCATATTGATATTACAATTAAAAAAAATTATCAAATAGAGAAGGCAAAGTGGATAATCAAGAAGTTAGTGAAGTAGTGACAAAAGTAGTTAAATAATTTCATTGCTATAGTTTATAAAATTAAGTTAATGTGACGAAATATGACTTGTAAATCATGGGTACAATAATAAAGTTATGTTATCATATTTTATGACTCAACTCAATCTTTATCTGGATCATTTATTCAGGTATGAAAAATATTTTTCAATCAGTTCTTTAATTTATTTTCATGTTTGATTGGTTAATTTTACTTATTTTTAAAACAATATTTTTTAAGAAAAAAAGTTTCTTAAATAAGTAAAAGTAACTTATCTAATTACAATTATTTAAAAAATTATACAGTTAATATTCAATATTAATTATCTCATCCCGATCCTTTTTCCTACTAGTGTTCTTTTCTTCTTCTATCAGGTAAGAATTGTGTTATGTTGTGCACAAGCCCATTTCTGATTATTCCATTGGACTATAGGCTGGCCAAAAGTTAAAATGAGAAGTCCAGAAATTATATCCACTAATTTTGAAAATAAGTGATTTTGAATTTGTTATCGACTTATCGTTGATTTTTTATATGCAAATATTTAAAGTTTAAAGTTAAAAGTTGTTAAACTTTAAAGTTTGCCTATAAAATAAACAGAGTCAAAAGTTCAATATCATCTACTTTAGTGTAGTATAGAGATACTTGAAGTTCAGGATGGATAGAAAAATTTAGGTATGAATTTTTGAAATCTCAATAATTATTCTTCATTTCTTGTATATGAATTAAAAATTCAATTAAAAAATTATAAATATTTAATTGTGACTCAGTTATCATTGTAAATTAATTTGAGATTTTTGTTGAAACCTATAAAGTTCAAATTGTAGATCCATCTCCAACGATTTGATGCCACTATTTGAGTTATGCGCTCTAAGTTTATAAATACATGTATGTCTATCTACTTTCGAATAACTTTAGATGTACAATATTAAAACTTTAGATACAAATAGTTAAAGTTTGGTACTATATTTTTGCGTGATTCAATTATTTTAAAAGATTAGATAAAAGTTCAAATAAGAATAATATATTTAGCCCATAAAACTATGATCCAGTTCATGTTAGTCCATATCTTTCGGTCCATTTCCTACTTCTTGTTTGACCTATATTTGTTGAAGAAGTTTTTTTTTTCTCATGCAGTAGTCGGTATATGCGTTGGAGCTCACTAATTTAAATTCATGTTACTGAGAGTTTATTTGAGAAAAAACATTTTTTATTACAGATTTTTTCATATTTAAAACTCAAAATTGTGAGTTAAAAGACGTCGATGATGTTGTTGGTGCACTTGTTTTCTTCTTCCTTTAGACAATCTGGCGTTGTGGTGATGCAGGGTTAAACATTTACATTAGGTTATAATATATGTTGAATCATTTTATTATAACTATCGTTTTAATTTTTTTTATCGAGAGATTTAGTTTTGTAATTCTTTATAATTTGATTTTAGTTTTATGTTTTTTTTTCACTAGAGATTTTCATTTTTACACATAAGAAATCTAAAAAATATGTTCTATTCAATTTGCAGTCGGTTATAACCATCATTTCCTCCTATTAAGAAAGACAAAAAACACTAGGTATATAGTTGACCAAGTAATCTCTACTTAGTTAATAAAAGTAAATTGATTTCTTTTTAAAAAATATTACTCCATCTGCCTTTATTATTTGTCTATTTTCCCTACACACAACCAAGAAATCATAAATAAGAAGAATATTTTTATTAATATTTTACCTTTTTAACTCTTTTCAATACATTCTATTTATGTGTCTTGTCCATCAACAAAAACAATTCAAAATTAGAAGTGAGAAACTTTTTTGAAATTTTATAATATTTATACTTCAAAAAGAATTAATTAAAGGCAAAATGATTTTTTTAAAAAAATAATTCGGTTTTGATTTTGTTAATTAACACACAATTTGAGATATACATTTTTAATAACATGGACAAGTAATATAAGACAGAAGAAGTATGTCATTAAAGTATAATTGAAAATAATAGTCAACTTTAATCCTGAATTACGAAAATAAATTATTTTAAGCTATAGTAATGTAGTTAATTTGAGACAAAGAGTGTAATATCCAAGAAAAAAATACATAAAATAGGGGACATAATATATTAATGAATAATGGTTTTTTTTTTGTTATTCATTCAGCGTCTGAAGCTTGTATTAGAAATTCGATTAAATTCAGATCGTGCATTGTAGGGTCCATTCATGAGGTGGCACCCCAACAAAAGTTTTTCTATACAAAATTCAAATTCAAAACTTCTGATTAAGATCCTACTAACGCATTACAATCTATATCGGTATGAATAACAAATATCATAATTATAAAAGGGTAGACATGTGCCTCACTTATTAAAACTATGTTATTACGAATTATTCATCTAATAATTTTCATACATGTGCAGCTAGTGGCAATGATAGGTTGTTATGTAACATTAGTACGTACGGAAAATTACCATTATCAAATAAATTAATGGGAAACATTATATCCCTTCGTTCGAGTCTTGAGAATGAAAAAAGTTCTAATAGAAATTATGAAATGCGAATTTAAATTAATTGGAATCGTAACAAGTAATTTTTGTTTAGATTCTATATTGTATTAGGAAGTCCATTTAAATATGTATATGAATATTTCATTACGAACTTGATGACTAAAATGAGCTATGAGTTCAATAGCAAATTCACAAATCATAAACTTTAAATCGTGGCTTTGCCTCTAAAAATAACTTATTTTGTTTTTAGACTACCAAGTATAAAATCAATTAATCTAAAAAAAAACTTATTTTATTTTAAGACTACCAAGTATAAATCAATTAATCTAAATCGTGGTTTCGCCCCTAAAAAAAAGCTTATATTGTTATAAGAATACCAAATATAAATCAATTAATCTAAATATGACTCGCTGTTGAACTTGTTGAGGTTGGTCATATGAATTTATCGACATTTCTTGAATTAAAAAAAACATTTTGTTTAAAAAATTAATACCCTTTTTATTATGCAAAAATTCATTTATTTTGGACTAAATGTGAAACTAAAAACACCATATAATAGGGACCAAAGAGATTAAATCTTAATTCCAATTAGTAGATGGGTGAATCCAGAATAGTTGGTCTCCAATGCAGGAACCTAACACCAAATGAAAAAAATAATGAAATAAATCCCCATAAGTAGAACAAAAGAAGAACAAGAAATCCAAAAAACAAATGCAAATTAAAGAAGCAGCCTAGTGCACTAAGCTATCACTATACACAGGATTAAGAAAAAGACCGTACCACAAGAGTCTATTTTACAATAAAACAGATAATTCTGTAACGAAAAGGTTACAATCAAATGGTGAATCTAATTAGAAGTTTATTCTACACAACTAGAACAGGGTTAAAATGACAAATAAAAACAAAATCTAAAACAAATAACATAAAATTTAAGCTAACAACATACAAATTCTACACATTTTTATTATTATTACAAGTCAATGAAATCCCCTTGATCCTCTAGATTGATATAGTTCAAGCCTGCTATTTGCTTCCTGCAACAATCTCTCTACCTTTTCGTGTTGGCTCAAGTACGCGTGCTTTGAGGCCCACTCGAGCACTGTCAGTACCTCGGCTTGAGCAAGTGCTTCACTATCAGGAACGTGCAACGCAATGTAGCAAAGTAGAAGCAATGCAGGACTCTGAACTTTTTGTTCACCAAAGTAAACAAGTTGAATCAAATGTTTTGTCCCTCCGGCGTTTATGATGGCCTTGGAGTGATCCTTGTGAAGGTAGTTATCTGAACAAGCGAATTTTGCAAGGGCTAATGCTGCTTCTTTGGAGATTAATGGTTCGCGCTCATCAAGTAGCTTGACTAATGGACTAATGATCCTTGTTTCAGTTGCTCGAAAAGTCCTAGCTAAGTTTCCAATAGCATTGATACATGGAATAAGCAAGTCTGAATCTCCTTTTTCGATGATTCTCAGTAATTGATCAACAACAGCTTTGCAGGCTGTTGTGTTAGGCTTGAACGCTGACCGTCTCAAATCAGCATCTTGTTCTGCCACTGCTGTGATTTCCATTATGGACATAGATGAATTGTACTTAACATCGTCTGTTCCTTTGTCCAGGAGTACCGCAAAGCAAAGCAGTGCTCGTGATTCAGTAATGCTGCGACAAATTGAGGAATTTCCCTTGGCAAGTTTCCATAATGCTCGTGCAGCCATCGCCTTCATATAAGCCTTGGTAGCAGGATCCTCATTTTCCCTCCCTTTATTACTCGCCCCAGTTGAACAAACACTGTTCTGATGCTGATGCTGATGCTGATGCTGCAGATGATTGACATGATTTTGCTTCATCACGTTGCTATTTCCGTTAATCTTGCTAAGCTGATTCAACGTCTGGTTCACGCCATTGACAAGATTTTCCTGAGGGGTTTTCGTTAGACCCTTCATCGACATAGTGGTGGTAATCACATTATGCATCTGATTAGACTTATTATTCCCTAATGGATGTGGAACACGAATCTTTCCATCATCCTCGTTCGCCTTGTTCACATTACTATTGTTATTACTAGCCAAAACAACAGCGTGAATCGAAGTGGCTTTGCTGACAATAGCATACTTGATATGCTCTTGAACCGTCTCAAACGCGAGATGGCTAACCAGTAACCTGACTATATTATGCTGCTGAAAAAGATCTTGGCATTTCGGGTAATGTGAAACGAGCTCTGCAACTGCCCATGCCACTACTGACTGAACTTTCATCAGACCTTCTTTGAGGATTTTCGCAAACACTGAGCAAACGCCAGCATGTATCATGTGTTCGACACTTTCAGGGTCGCGTCCAAGAAGTCCAATTGCCTTAGCAGCATTCTCCTGACCTTCCAATTTCCCTTCCTTCAACAATTTCAACAACGGTCCAACTCCACCTGTCGAGACATAATATAATTAATTACGTATTTAAAAGTGTGTTCTTTTTAATAGCTTAAATTCTTTTTAGTATAGTAAAAAGGGATAATTGTACAGAATGACAAACTTATAATCTAAAATAAATGGAGTAGCTACTGTTTGATTTAATTGCGTCCTATAGCAAACGATTGTCAGTCGCCTCACTCCCTCCAAATTCTCGCTCGCCACTCTCCCTTTCTCGCTCGCTCCCTCTGTGCTCGCCTCTCTCGCTTTATACAACAGAATTGTATAAATTGCGTTTCTGTTTGTATAAAGCGAGAGAAAATTGTATATACACATGCAAATACATATATATTCGTCTTATACACTTATAATTATACAATAAAAATATTCCCCTACCCAGTTCTCTTTTGCCTTTCTCTCTTTCTCGTTTTATACAAACACAAATTATACAATATAATGTAAAATTTATATTTGTATAATGTATAATTTATGTTTGTATAAAGCGAAAGAAAACCGTATATACACATGCAAATACATATATATTCATCTTATACACTTATAATTATACAATACAAATATTCCCCTGCCCAATTTTCTTTTGCCTTTCTCTCTTTCTCGTTTTATACACACACAAATTATACAAATATAATATATAATTTATGTTTGTATAATGTATAATTTATGTTTGTATAAAGTGAAAGAGAGAGCGATTTTGATATACAAATATTTTTGTCAACGATTTATACAAACGAGAGGCTAACAACAATTTATACAAATGGCCTACCAGCGAAATTATACAAATCTGAAGAGGAGCCAACAAATTATACAATTGCTTCTTTTTGTATATATGTATAGCGAAATAGACATAGCTTTCAATTGTGTATGTATAACGAATTATACATGTATATATTTGATATGGAGCGCAATTATGCAAACTTTGTTATAACATACAAATATGATTTTTTTTATTTGCTATATGTGAAAGTTGTTATAGTAAAAATACCTTTAAAAGTTCTGAAATGAAATATCTTAAACTTTTCAACACAATTTAGATCCATATCAAAGCTGACAAAAGTCCTGGGTTCGATGCCACAAAAAGCACATAAATTATTGGGATCCATATGTTTAGTCCATTTCAGTATGAGCAACACAACAAATTATAATTAACTATCATGTATTTTAGAAATGAGAATTTCGACGAACCTTCTTCGATGATTAACTTGCCATACCGATCATTATCCTGAGCTAACGAAACCAAAGAAGCAGCAGCATCCGATCTCTCATCCGATGAGCCAGTATACAAAATTGCAATCTGTTCCCAAATCAAACACAATATAGGTTCATTAGCAGCAATCGGCGGCAGCCCCAAATACTCATCACCCCGTTCATTCGCCGATGCAGAAACACGGAGGAGCCACGATACATCACCGATCGAATTTTCCAGTAGAGAAGTCATTTTCCTAAATGCAGCAGCAGGGATGATAGTGAAAACACGTTTAACGAGCCCGTTGGCTCGACATTTCGAGACGATTGATAGGGCTTTTTCGAGTACTTGTTCAGTATCTTCGATGATTCGTTTCGTAGGGCGTTGGTAGAGATCGTTGCTAGCTCGCGCTGCTTGACGTAGCAGCGCGGCTAGTTTCTCTGTTTTGGATTTGATATCTGCACAATCTTGTTTGAATGAATTTGCTTCGTCTGCTACTTTTGTTACTTGGTCTGCTAATTGAATTGGCTTAGCCAAGATCTGCTTCACTATGTCAGCCATTAAATACGGCAAAATGGAGAAATTTGACGAATTGAGATGGGAGGTTTGGGAGTTAACTCAACGAGCTAGATCAAAAAATACAAAAAATGAAGTGTGTATTCAGTTCATTTCGAGGTTTTGAAGGCGAAAAATGGTGAAATGAACTTAGTGTGGAGTTTTGGATTTGTGAGTTTTAATGGAAGATTTGTGTACATTTGAGAAGTTTGATATTGGAGAGTGAGAAGATGTGGCAATGGAGTTGGAGTGAGATGCTATTGGAGAGATTTGTGAGTTTAATAAGCATTTTTTTTTTATTTGGATGATTGCGAATTTTCCATCATGTGGCGAGTTCGAGTCCTAGAAAATGAGAATAATTTTATTGAAAATGTAGACCTTACAATACGTAAATTTGAATTTAATCTGACTAAGATTTATTGTTTTTTTTAAAAAAATTAACCCTAAGGGTTACACCACTGGAATGGTTCGAGAGTGAACATTCTTGTCGGGATCGGATAGATGGTGAACTATACCTGAGCGGGACGAAGTCAAAGGAAACTCTGATGGAGGCCCACAGCAATACTGACGTGCAAATTATTCATCTGACTTGAATATAGGAAGAAAGACTAATCGAACCGTCTAGTAGTTGACTGTCCTCGAAATAGCTGAAGCTCGCGTGCAAGTTCTTTCGGGTAAAGCCAATAATTAGAGGCTATTGTGTGTGCAAGAGTTTGATTGGTTTAATACTAAACAAATATTTAATGGTTGACTTGGTATGTTAGTTCTCATCTTAGCTAACCTTTGCGTGATTAATATGAGTTGCAGAGAGATGATTGAGATATTTTGAGTTTCAGTTTTTGAGAATTTAAATCTTTTCATTGGAAGTGGCGTTTTCAAAAATAAGCTTGATGAATTCACATTTAATCGAACGCTAATATGAATACGGAATATAAATCACAAGAAAAAAAAACAGCTTGCATGGCCTGATGTAGATCAGAAAGCCAGGTCACTGACAATGCGGGGATATATTTCACTTTATGAACTAACCTGTCACATGCCAGATTCTGTGGCGCATTGGCAGGTTTCTTCATTAAATTTTTTTGAGATTTTTATTCGATGTTCGATATTTATATCGAAATTGGATTAAACTCAAATTTACGTATTACATCACTCATTTCTCATAGCACTTTCATAAGAAATTTTTTATTTTCAAAGTCTCAAACCTAAAATCTCTAATTAAAAGTGAAAATATCTCAATTATTCCACCACGACGTATGTTGGTTATCGATTTCTTCGTTGCACAATACTATTATTTGATGGCCTCGATCTGTGGTCCTACTCTTAATTGACTCAATACCTAGCGTATAAAACAAATGTAAAATAATTTTATTTATAACAAAATTGTTATTTTTTTGGTATTAAAAAGTATAGCTTAGTGATCAATGAAGCGAGTTAGGTGATTTATTTTCATCTGTTCTAACTTTAATGAATAAGTTATTTAATATTTATTATCGGTGAAAGGTAATAAATATCTTATGAAATTAATTGAAATACGTATATATTGATCTGAACGCCATGATTATAAAAAAATAAAATGAAATTATTATGTCATGTCCTTGTAACTGAACATGCCCACTTGGAGACTGGCTGGCGCAGTTGTTGATTAGCGTTTGCATGTTTCAGTTATAGTTCCATGTCTGTTGATTGCGCAACGGTATGTAGCACTTTGAAAACACTATGGGCCTAATTCCCTTCTTATCATAACATGTATGGTTAACGTAAAGATCAAAAATACGTCTAATATATTTTAATTTTTTTGAGTTTTATATCTATATTATTATATATGTGAGTTTTTTTTATCTGAACTATTACTAACATGTTTATTGAAATACATTTAAGCTAAACTATTGATCGTTTGAGTTTCATACTTGAAATTCCAAGTAAGAAAAATGAATAACTGATAGTTAGTTTAAGTATGCTTCAATAAACATTTAGTGAAAGTTCAGTTAGGAATTTACACACATGATATTAATGTATGAAACTCAAAATATTGAGATGCTTTAGTCTTTAGGTGTGTTTTTTACCATTAACTCGTAAGGCTATACATACTTCGGTAGATACTGAACTATTTTGAAATATCAATCTTTTCTATGTCAAAATTTCAATATTATAATATTAGTGTACGTAGGGGTGGACATGGTATGGTATATACCGAATTACCATATCATATTAATTTTTTTAATACCGTGATTTCGATATTATAGTATTTGATATGGTATATGGTATACGTTTAATTTTTTTTTGGTATTCGATATGGTATTTGGTATATAGAAATAACTTATCGAAATATCAAATACCATACCGAAGTACTTGTTACATAAAAAACATATATATTATTTTAAAATACAAACAACTATGCAACCTAGTATTAGTATAAACTAAATGTTTAGAAGTTGAAACTTTGACTACTCTATTTTGATTTAAATGTATTTGAAATTTAATTGATTAACAAAATGAGTTGTTTGTACTTTATTTCGAATATATATTTCTACATGTATGTTAGTATGATACAACTGAGACTTTTTTAATTGCCAAAATCATAATACTCTATCATACGAGTATATATTAGTCGAAATTGAACAAACTATAATTACCAATTTACTGTACCGTAAAATACCGAAATCAAACTTCAAAATATCGAACCATACCGAATTAAATTAATATGGTAATAATATAATATTTTAAAACTGAATATCAATATTATAATATCTAAATTTTCAAATATCGTACCATGCCCATCCCTAATACCTTTCCTTTCAAGTTTCAATTATCGATTGATGCATGGGGACCTCTCTTAACATTGTAATCAATAATGAAAGATTTAATGAACTATTTTATTCATTATGCTTTATTATATAAAAAATGGATAACGTTAAAATTTAAAATTTTGACTCCACCTTTAAACACAAATCATTGGGTATTTAATTACATTATACATATTGATTACTAGAATTAAACAAAGATTTTTTCTGATCACGAATTATTAAAAAAACTGTATTATAAAACTTGAGTTTTTTATTTCATTTTCATTAAACTAGTTCACTGGAAAAATGCATGGTAAAAAACAAATTCTCGTTGAAATACTAAAAATAACCTTTGGACTTTTTTCTTTCCTCACTAATTCAATTAAAATATTTGTGGAAAATTGAGAATAGCCCGAAACATTTTTCAATAGAAAATTTTAATTAAAAAGTAGTGATTTTTTAGTAGTGTGATTATTTTAAGATTTTTGTGATCCTTTATCGAATTTATTTTAATTACACGAACTCACATTAAATTGATTATATTATAAATTAATCAGGTGATGAATCTTGAACTGATAGTTCACAGTGAATTAATGATGGAGTAGTGGTAAGCACGATGGCTTTTTGGGATTTGTTAATTGGTCTTATCGATCGACTTAATTTAATATATTTTTTATTTAATTTATCAATTTGAAATATATTTAATTAATAAAATAATTGTTCTTAATTTTCACTTTATCTATTAAACGGTCTTTAATTATTTATTCGATTTCCAATTTAACCATTAAAAAAAATCCTCTAATTTTTTTCTTTTTTCTCTTTTCTCTTATTTTCATTTGTTCATATATTTAACCATTGCATTTCCAAACAGTCAATCAATATCCGTCATGGCAATAGTTATTATGATTAAGATTTCTTTTCCCTAATTATAATTTTTATTAGTCGAGAACGGTTTAGAATTTAAATATATAAACATGGGCACATGGCTTGTCTAGTGCAGTTTACATCTCTAGTATAATTTTCAGGCTATTACATAGTGGTGGATTTCCTCAGTGAGCAGTGAATGCTCATCATAGAATACTCACTCGAAAGACAAAGGATCTCGCAGAAGTTATAACGACTGTAAATTACCTCAGATTCCAAAAAAAAATTGAAATGGATGAAATAGGTTTTTGAGCAAAGAAAAAAAAAGGAATAAATAAAACATCACTATATCAACTAAAGTATATATTACAGTAGAACTGTCTACGTTACACTCAAATGTGCGTTCCATTCCTAAACTTTACTAACACAAAATATACTTTGTCCAACTAACTATTCTTTAATATTAAAAAAAAATTATAAAAAATTCCAACTCCACCACTTCATCGTTAATATCAACATCACTCAAACAAAGATCCTAGATTCCTTCCCGAGTCCAATCAGGGGCGGCTCAACAACTTTGAAAAAAAAGCAATTGCCTTAGGCCCAAAATTTGAGGGGCCTCATTTTAAAAAAAAATAAATAGGTTATAAGTTTTAAAAAAACACAGAGTATTGCTTATCGAAAATAAAATCTTTTCATAAAAAAGCAAAGAAGTAATAGAAGTTCGACAAATTATGAATACTATGTCTAAAGAAAAATTAAATAATTAGCTATAATAAACTTCATAAAAAATATATATTTGAATTTAAGGCCCCCATTCGGATTTGGCTTAAGGCCACCGATTTATTAGAGCCGCCCCTGAGTCCAATAATGCAAAGAGGTGATAAGTCATATAAATACATTTGCTTGGCCTTATTATTATAAATATTACTATAGGACGATAAAATGAACTACTTTTCGTGAACCCTTTCCATGCATGAATTATTATTATCACTGTTTTATTGACAAAGGACATGTTGTCATTTTCCTTTAGACATGTACGTACGATAAATTTTACTTCAGTATGATAATTATTAATTTCAATAAAAAGGTAAATTACATTAGATAAATTTTGCTTCACTAATCAGAATCAAAATATTTATGAGAGGGGTCACAATATGAATAAGGCCTCATTTGTTTGCATTTAATGAAGATCTGAATATTAATCATTCAGATTTAGTCTATTAAGTATTTGTTTTTTAGGTCTGAATTCAGCCCATTAAGTCCATTGGTTTCTTTTTCAAAATGCCTCTTAATAGAGATGAAAAGATCTAGACAGATCAGATCTGCAGGAGAGTCTTAACACCATTCAGATTTATTTAACAAATTATAAAATAATATTGTATTGCCTCTCTCGGTCTTTGCGTGACTTTTGCTCTCACAACTACAAACTTTCTTCCTCTCTTTACTCAATCAAACACCAATTTTTTCCTCTTGAACTGGTAAGTTTTCATAATTTTTACAAGTATTTTTTTATATTAATAATTTTCTTAGGGTGTATTAATGTTTGTCAAGAACATTTGTTGCAATAATATGTTTAGTGTATTGATGTTCATCAAGGTTTTTGAGTAGAAAAAAATGCTATTAATAATTAAAA